CTCTCTCTCTCTCTCTCTCTCTCTCTTTCTCTCTCTAAGACTCCCCTCGGCGTTGCCCGGCCCTAATCCTCTTACGACTACTTCTACCAACCTATAATAATCCTCTTTGCAGTAGATGTTGCCGTCCCTGGCGAAACACGTCAACTCGGCGGCGAGAGGCACACGGCAGTGGCAGCAACGAAGGCAGCCGCAGTGCCACGCGCGGTCCGCAGCCCTTAGGTACCACCGTTCGGCTATCTCTCTGCCGCAACCCCCGCAGCCGAGGCCACCGTCGGTGTTGTTGTTCTCGCCAGTGCCGATCTGCCGATTGCTGACGGCACCATCCCCTGGCGGGGGTGTGCTGCTCCCACAGCCCACTTCCTTCAGCATCTCGAGAGGAACCGCCGCGACCACCGGCGCATTCTGAGACAAACACGGAGATTGTTTTTCTTCACAAGCGTTGCAAGCGTGGGGGGATTGTTGCTGGACCTCAGGTACATCGATAAGTCAGTTTCATTAATTAGAACAAAGAGTTAGCTGGGCTTTTGGTAAATCGAATCAATATATCGGTTAATCGTGCCCTCCCTTCTGCTGTTTAATTAATTAGAAACGTTTAGATGTTTAAATATCGTACAATATATTTCACAATTCCTGCATAAATGATCTGATGAACTGTGTTCTTTTCTTCTCGACAGGTTCAGTTCTAAGATTGAACGAGACGTTAGAAGTGGGAGTTCGAGGGTGTTCAAATTCTATTCTCAACCCCGCTTATGGTGTGTTCTCAATGGTAATAGATTTAGAAAACAATTGCAGCACGTTATTGTATCTAATTAGTTAAAATTAGTTAATACAAGTCCTCAATGATTAAATTAAACGGTATTAATAAATATATAGTAAGATAAGTGTTTAAGTTATGGATTTTCCAAGCAAGCCAGTACCAATTACAAATTTCAGTTTCAATCCCTTTTCCCCGTCCGTGAACCGATCCGATCGATTTCGTAAAACAAACAACTGTACGATAGAATGTCGCTAAATAAAAACAATGATGCTTCGATCGCGGACCAAAGGTCATCGGTAATATCGATTTTCCCGTGGAAGCTTTCGTCGTCGTCGGTATTTGGTATTTTGGCAAATGGACACTCGAGGCTCCTCGAGCCACACGCTCTCGATTTCACATGGATGAAAATTCAAGCGACGTGCACCGAAACTTTTTTTTTCCGCGTCATCGTCGCGATGACGAGAGAGACAGCGCCGCGGGCCAAAGGACTCGCAGCCTCCTCCTTCTCCTCCTTCTCCTCCTCTGGAAGTCGGCGGAGAAAGAGGTGGAGGAGGAGGAGGCAGCGGGTGGAGGAGAAGCGGCCCCGCATTCATTCAGCACACTTCTCGGCGGCGGCGCACGCAAGAACCGATGAATGAAAACAATTCGTGACTGCTGTCCCGTTAATGAATGACTCCCGGGGCAGTGGCTCTCTCGGTTTCGAATCGGCCGCGAGCTAATTAGTAGAAGCTTGCGGATCGCCACAATAACTCAACGTCCTTTACGAGCGCGGGCCGCACGTGATTTCCGTAAGTTAAATGGAAGGTGACGTCGCCTGGAATCACCGTACACCTCGTTCCTAACCAAGGTGACGCCGTTTTGCTGCCGCTTGTCACCGACGTATTAGGCCGAACGTGTACACCTTGATTTACAACTGTTAACCTCCGTTCCACTCTCGATCCTCCCTTTTTTTTTCTTTTGTTCTTGCTCCTCGCTGTGCTCCCGTGCTCTCGGTTTTTCGCTTATTATTGATCGTAGGGAAGTGCGTTTTGTTCGGCGTGTGGCGAAGTGATCGTACGTACGTGTTCTTAATACGGATGTTGGTGAAGTAGACTGAACGATCTTAGATGATGATAAGATTTGACTTTTTTCATAAAAATTCTCGTACGTACAACATTATACTTCGACTGGTTATTAACCAGGTAAACTGCTTCTGATTTCAGTGCGTTGCGTATTCTATACGAAGACAGTCTGCCATTAATAATTGATAAAAACAGAAACTTCTTCCCATGGTAAAAAGGATGGATGCTAAAAGAGCTCAGAAGCTAAGGTATGAATCGAGTGTAGGGTACCTCGTAAACAACATTTTTACGTTAAAGACCCGATCTCATCTGTCTTGCTCAGTCAAAGCACGTCTACGCGTTAATGTTAACTCGATACATTAAAACAATAAATTAAAACAAATTATCTGTACAATTACCTTGACTGTCTTATTAACTGAATAGAAAGATTTTAAATCGCATTGAACATCGCAATTATCCTGCCAATCGTTAAATCAACACGCCGGCCCTCGTTCTAACCATTCGCTTGAAATTCTAATTCTACGCTCCAATTCATCCTCGTATCGTTATCTTACCTGAGTGTTAGTTCAAGCAGCTGTAAACACGGCGGTGAATTTCACCGACGCTTCCTGACCGTCTTCGTCTAGCTTCCTCTGTCTGGTCGGTGTCTGCCGTCGCTTCCCGTGCCAGCGCGTCGGTTCCCACACCGCGGGATTTATTCGTCGAAGCTGGCTATTTCCATCCGGCTGGCAGCGATGACCTTGAGTCACGAGGCGCAAGGTTTTCCAGGCACGGTGTGGACGATGCACGAGGAACGTCGTCGTGGAAAGGCACGATCGAACGTCGACGTTCACGGGGTCCGTCGGAAGCGGTCGCGACAGCACTCGTGAGGTTGAAAAGTCACGGCAGAACGTTGGAACGATTGAAGTGAACTACGTTGGAAAGTTGATCCGCGTGAAACGGGTGTTGTGGAATTTCTCAGAGTCCGTTCAAAGTCGATTATCTCATTCATTGGAATTCATCCGCAGCGAATTGAAATGAAATTGAAATCTACTAGAAAAGTCCCTGAATTCTATCGATGAGAAGCACAGCGACATAAGGAAGATTTAAAGATTTGCCAAAATTACGTGCTTCTGATCGAACGTAACTCCACTCCATCCAAGAAATCACTCCGTGTTATCTTTGCTCGTGGTACAAAACTACCTTAACGTCACACCATCACGTCGTTCCTCGACTCTACGATAAACCGACGACAAAATCCACGAGGATCACTGTAATTCCATCTTTCGGCATCCAACATTCCCAATCTTGCTCCAATCGTCCAATTTCACCAGTGATCAACTAGCATCGACCACCTCGACCCTCGGATTCCTCTACCTGTCTCCCCGTATCCAGCGTTTCTCTTTCTCTCTCTCTCTCTCTCTTTCTTTCGCCGATCCTCTCCGGTACTCGAGAGAACTTGCTTTTATCACCTTCGGCCGATCATCACCAGATCATCACCAGGAGCCGGCGTCGTGTCGCAGCCACGTTCTCGCGCGTCTCGCCGTTTCGCCTAGCCGACGGAGCTGAGCCGGAAGAGACGCCAGTTTCCCGTCCCGACCGAAGAGGAACGCCGCTCCTCTTTTTGCCCGGCGAGGGAAAATCGTGCGCGTCGCGGATAAGGTCGGCAGTCGAGTTGGCCGCGAGGGAAGCTGCTCCCCGTCGGCGTAATAGTACGATCCTGGGCTGGCCAGCCAGGGGCCAGGGGCGGACGTCGGCATGGTAGAATAGAGGGGTTGGCCCCCGCGTGCATCGACGTCGTAGCCACGGGGTGGGGTTTTCGGTGGCTGCCCAACGGGGTAGAGACGTCGGGACGCCTGGCGTTTGCGCGTTTCCACGCTCTCCCTCTGTCTTTCTTTTGCCTCCGTATCCGACCGCGCGCGGTGTCCTCGTCGACGACGCGTCAACGTAGCCGGCGTCTAGCCGACCTCCGCGCCGGATGACAAGAATCACTTGCAACGACTCGCTTCGCCGGTGTCAATTATGTCATCGGGTCTGTGGGATGTCGAAGGTTCCTCGGTGCTCTGCTTCTTTCGGCTAGCTGGCTGGTGAGGATGAGTGTCTCTTAGTTCGTTCTTGGTGGGTATTATCTTGGAAAAGTATTACCTTGGAGATTCTTTGCGCGGGAGACTATGAACTCTCATGAGACTACTCTCCATAGACTTTAGGAAATTTTAAAATCACCTGTATTACCTTTTGAATAATTTAACTGTACGTGAAACACATTGCTATGTATTTTCATGCCCGTGTGAAAAGAAATAAATACTACATTC